AAAAAAAAACTCTTGATCAATGACATTTTTCCAGCAGAACTGGCCCGACTTTCACCTATTTACCTTAAAGCACGCTTAGAAAGTGTTTGGCCCGCGAAAGTGGTCGTTTGCACCAGGCTGAATAGCTAGCCTAGCTGCCTGCCCTCCCTCTTCCACTTTCAGGTCTGGGGCGACATAGGTAAGTAGAGTCCTTGCTTCCCCCAGTCGTGACGTCACAAATACTTCGGTCTTCCCTACCCAAAGGAAAGGATCAGGATTCTAAGAAAGAAAAGAAACCTCCACAAAAGCAGATTCGGTTGTCCAAAACGTGAACTAAAGCCATCCAGTGCTGGGCACTCTTTCCCCTCAGTAAATGCTTGATTGCTCACTAACCCCAAACCGCTCTTCTGTCCCATAAGTTTGTGTTAAAGGAACCCGTTTGAAGATTCTGACCCTCGCATACAGTCTTCCCGTAGGAACTGCTGCCTGAAGCATGCAAACGTTATAATTTTAAACATAATTTGATCTTTATTTGCAAGTAATTACTCAGCCCTTCTTAATTCCATCTCCTTACTCCTATGAATGTATGCATGTGGCACTTTTAAAATACAGTGACCCCCTCCCCCACCTCAATCCGGAGCCAATCTTTTAGATTTCCCTGTTAGGCTAGTTAGGTTTTGTAAATTTGAGATCTGGGCATCTTCAAAGATTCAAATTAGATTTTCTCTTCCTCATGTTTTCGCAGAACCTTAATGGTAAAAAAATTTCTATTGGGTTCTATTTTCACGATCTCAACCATTAGCTAAATATCTCAACTTCTTCCTGTGTCCGTACGATGCCATCCGATTTAATTCCTTTTTATTGGCTGAACCGAGAGGTTAGTACATTAACCGAATAGCTTATTCTTTGAGGGTTACAATCCACTAGGAATCCAATCCATTACAATTTACTTTGTGTTATTGTGTCCTGTCAGACAATTATGCAACCAGGAACAATTACTACATACTGTCGAATTTGTCTTTTAGATTGTTATTTATTAATCTATGAATATAAAGATATACACATGTGTCTAACATATGTGTATACACAGACATAATTCAAATCCAGACAATTCCAGTGGACAAAAGGTAGTTTATTAGAAGTCAACTAAAAAAATTTAAGTAGGCTTCTTAGGATCCAAAAGGTTGGAAAAAAATGCAACATTTTACTGATGGGGGTAGGGTAGAACTTAGATTTAATAACCCTTTGTGACTTATCTACTTTCTCTAGATTTTAATAAACATAAACACACCAGGAACTGATCTAGAAATGAATATGTCTCAATATTTCCTTTATCCTATTTTTTACTGAACACCTGCTTGACAAGAATTTCTCAATCTTGCATATCCTCATCAGCCCTTCCCTCCAAATCTCACCAATTCAGCCAAAGCAAGGGGTTCATTTACATTCTCTCTTTTTTTTTTTGTCTCCCACTCTTTTCCCTTCCCCTTCCCATCCAGTTTAGAGGTGGAAAGTATAAGGCATTCCAGTAACTACACTCAAAAAGTTAAAACTCTGGATCAACATGCTTTGCCATTATTTGTAAGAAACAGAAAAAAAAAAATAAGCATAAGACTACTATGCCACACATTGAATCAACAAGACAGCCACCACCATTTCTTTCTCCTGTATGGAAATTCATACTATAAATCAAATTGCATGCATCTTATCTACTAATAATTTACTTCACAAATATTCTCTGAAAATGTCATCATGAATTGTGCAGTTGATGGTACATATAAAAATTATTTTTTTAAACTCATTTTTTTATTCAATCTAAACTCACCAGTGAAAACTGGGGGTTAATTGATTGGGCATCTGTATAAATAGGCATTTGATTTATTTTTCTGACCATAATATTTTAAATCAAAAGTAGAAGGAAAAAAGTAAGAAATAAGACAAATAGCTTATCCCCAAGCTCCCATACACAAAACTGACTGTACTTTCTTCATTTAAAACACACACACACACACACACACACACACACAATTTTAATTTATATTGCAGATCTGATTTCAGAAGTGTACCTGCAATCCCAGCAGTTTCTTCTTTGTGACACTGATTCCTCATTTGGGTTTCCATTCCTTAATTGGAAAAATAAATTAGATTTTAAGAAATATCTAGAAAAAATGGACCTTGGCCTGTCTGCAGACTTAGGGATTCTGATGCAATTTTTAGCTTCTACCACCGCTAAACTTTGAGGTGGCTTTGTTCTGCTTGGACTCTTTGGTTATTCCTCCTTGTTGGATGTGAAGATACTTATCCTCCTCTTCAGTTAATGGGTTTCACCTAGTTTGCACATTTGTATTCTTATATAAAGATCTGCAAAGTGCAAATTGAACCAAAAAGTTCTAGGTTTGATTAAATCAGAAACTAATGTTCTATAGTGAAAACATTATCTGTTTCATATCTTAATCCTCAAAAAATATTCTGAGGCACTCAACTGCACAACTCTGTGTAGAATTTTAAGCTGTAGCAATTTTTGAGTGTTTTATTGCTTGCCTTACTATAAAAGGGAGAAAAAAAAAAACAATTGTCCTAAGTACATTTTGATTAAAGGCCCCTAGAAATTTCTTTCAATTTTAACTAAAACCTTAATGATCAACTCTTAGGTGTATTTCTTTAATTTTTTTCATTATTTCTGCATAAGAGTTGCATTTCCAAGAAACTCCCAAATAAATTAAGAAGAAAAAATGCCCAAGTGGACACATTTTTTTCTTTAAATAGGTTAGTAGGACAGTTAGACTACTTTGGTTCACAAATCAATGGGCTTTTAAAATACTGAGCCACCCAAAAAGTTATCTTCACAACATAATTTTTATAGTGTGGTCAAATCTAGAGATACATATTCAAAATTCTGACACAATAGCAAGAGACTGTGTTACACACACAAAAGCACATCTAAATACAGAAAAGTAATTAGAAGTAGTTATCATCTTTTGGCACACATTTCCTTGGCTAATCCTACTTACACTCACTAAACAAAATTGTAAATGTTCTACGAGGGCCATGATTCACAATTTTTTTGTTTTGTCCCCAAATTCTTCCTTGTAATGCATAAAATTTTATTAAAAAATTTGAAACTCATTGGCTGATGTACTAAGAAGTTGCAGTGTTGTTGGTCTTGCTGTTTGCTGTGGTTGATCTCAACTATTCTGTCATTAGGATTCTTCTTTCCTCTCAAATAGACTAAAATTTGTTCGAAAGTTTTTGTATAAAAAACATGTTTTTGCAACTTGGAGAAAGGAAGAATTTGCCTTCTTAACCCAATTCCAAAGAGATCTTATTTTCTGGGATCAAGAGCACATGAAGAAAAGAACTGTCAACCAAACTCTGAGCCCCAAAATATCATCTGAAATCTATTATAATAATAATGATGATAAACCTCAAGGACATCCTTGGTAATTTGTGTAATTTATAGATCACACCTTGTTAGTGATACTCATTTTATTTTTCATTATTAAATAACACACTTTCTTTGACTTTCTTTGAATATGTTTACTCCAGAAATGACTTTAAATCATTGTGTAAATTGAGCTTTGTAGCAAACATCATGCAAATAGTGTGAAAAAACAAAAACAAAAACAAAACACATCACCCTACAAAACTTAGTCAAACAGAAGTAATCACTAGACTTTTTGGAGAAAAGTACTCAAGTTTTGTGTTGTTTTTTTTTTAAAAAGGTATTTAAAGATAAGTTTGAGAAAAAAAGAAATAGGAATTGGTATATTAAAGGGTAAATACAGTGATTGTACATTACAAAAGGAGCAAAATTTTTGAGCAACTTCTCCCAATTAATGTGCTTGTAAAAATGCTATTAGAATAACTTTGATAACATGTTTTGTTTATCCTCATTTTGTTTTCTCTTTAGTCTTGACTTGATTAATACTCTATTAATTAACTCTTGTCAATTTTATCATTTTTACCTGACTAGTAAAATTTAGAAATAATAGATGATACCTATCAAGGTACTGAAGTCTGCAATACCAGATACTTCAAAGAAGAGTATATTAACTGAAATGCAGGTGTCTTTAAGGAAAAAAAAACTCTGATTTTTAACTGATGAGATATCATATAATAAAGGTAGTTTTGAGAATTTATTTAATAGGATTTTACCCCACAATAAAATGGGAACATATAGGAAATACATATATGGGAATTCGCTAAATAATATCAATCAATAAATACCAATATAGTAGAATCTAAAAGTTATTTGGCAAAAGATCTTTAAGTGGTATAAACAGTGTTTTGATAACCTAATTGTTGAATTTTTCTTCCTTTCTATTACCCAGTTGACAATGGGTCCTCTCAGATATCATTGCTACATGCTTTGTCCACCCTGAGTTACAATTCAATTTATTTTAAATTAACTTATAATGAAATTGCACTTAAGGGGGACCCTTATAAAATTAATTTTTCTGATAAGTTGCACTTCAAAAGGTTTATTGTTAAAGCTCAATTGATTTTATAGATATATACACCAACCAACACGATTTCAAACTAAACTAAAATTCTGATAAATGTCTTGTTAGCATTGCAGTAGACAATTCAGTCAATCAAATGTGATTAATCACCTCAATTTTGTAATGGTAAATCACGATAAGGAGAAATAAACTAACTCAGAGATCATTATGGTATAATTTATTATTTGGTCCCTTTTTATACCTGTGTTTTTGAGGGGTTTTGTTTGTTTTTGTTTTTGTTTTCAGAAGCAAGGTCTCACAGGATTTTTTGTTTGTTTGATCGTTTATCAGCTTATACATTTATTTGTCCAAGGAAGTTCAAAACGATAGTAGCTGCTTTGTTTTCAGCTGTTTCACGCAGTTTGTTGCACTTCAATCTCAGGGGGAAAAAAAAGGAGGGGTGTGAGGGGGGAAAGAAGCAGGAACACACTCCAAGAAAGGGTGGGGAAGCAAGCAGATCAACAGGTGAATACTGTTGATGAACCTTGTAGAAACATAACCCAAGGCAAATCCACCCTATTACCATGTCCTGCCATAGAGCAGGTTCGGGTTGACCATGCCACTGTTGTAATCGACAGTGGTCGCGTCCATCTGGGCCAGGTTGGTGACTTGGTTGTGAAGAGGAGGACTGGGGGACATCTCTTCCAGGTCGGGCGCCTGGGTTAAGGAGTTTACTTGTGGGTTCTGGTGCTGATGGACAGCGCTGTTGGACGAGGGGAGCACGCCATTGGCCCCGCTGGGCTGCGGCGGCTGCGGCCCGGGCTGGTTGGGCGTCGGGGTATTGGAAGTGTTCTGGCACGGCTTCCCGTCCTTCACCAGCACGGGCACCGCCACTCGCCGCGGTGACTGCTGCTGGCACAAGCTGTTCTCCTGCTGTAGCTGCTGCGTGACTTTGTCCTTCGCCTGCCTTTTCATTTTGTAACGGTGGTTTTGGAACCAGATCTTCACTTGGGTCGGCGTGAGGTGAATCATGCTGGCCAGGTGCTCCCGCTCGGGGGCTGACAGGTACTTCTGCTGTTTGAACCTTCTCTCGAGCTCGTAGACTTGCGCCTGCGAGAAGAGCACTCGCCTTTTCCTTCTTGGAGCCGCGTGCAGCGGGGCCATGGACTTGGCGGCCTCGGCGATCCCCGTCAGAGTCCCCATGCCCGTCATGTTCATGCCGGTGGACGGCCCCATGAACCTGGAGACTGGGAGCGTGAGGGAGGCGAGCTGTCAGCTCACGTCGAGGGGCGACGGCCGAGCACCCTCCTGGCCGCAGGCCGCGGCATACCCCCGCCCTGCCTCCCCGCCTCCCCTCCTCCCCGGGAAACCTAACAGTACCCCGGGGACACTGGCCTGGAGAGGGCAGGGAAGGGGTCTAGGCTCAGTTCCAAGGCCAGGCCTCTCTCTTCACACCTCATGAAGTGTTCTGACCCAGCCGGGAAGGAGTGGCGTCAGATCGGCCCCAGCTGGAAGGAAGCGCGGCCAGAGCGAGGGCTCAAACCCTCGCTGTCTCCCCGAGGCGGGAGCAGCCGCACGGGCCTCAATACCGCCCGGGGGGAGGGGGAGGAGTGGCGCGTGCTGGCTGTCCAAGCACACCGCGAGGCGCCCTCGAGCCACCAGCCTCGCTTCCATCGGCTGGCCAGGAATCTGGCGGGAAAGCGCTGCCCACTCCATTCCAACCCCCTCCCTTCATCTCCTCAAACCCCAGCTCTCCAACAGTAACGGTCGTCTGTTCCCCCGCCCCCGCCCTCGCCCGAACTTGCGCCCGGCTCACTTGTGGAGTAGCGGGGGTCCGGGTTGGCCCCGTACCAGCCGGTGGCGGCAGCGGCCGCCGCACTGCCCCTCATGCCGTCCGGGTAGGCGGGGAGGTCTCCCACGTTGCCGATCCCCCCGTTGCAGTAACCGCCCATGGCTCCGTGGGGGAACTGGGAGACTCCGGGAGGCATGTGGTAGGTGGCGGCCGCCGCGGCCGCCGCCGCCGCCGCCGCCGCCGCCGCTGCCGCATTGTGGCCCGCCATGGCGTGGGGAGGAGGCGGCTGCATTCCGGCCGCGGCCGCGGCGGCGGCCGCCGCTGCCGCCGCCGCCTGCGACGAGGAGCCAGCGGGCTGCTGCCGGTAAGCCGCTGCGGCCGCCGCCGCCGCCCCCAGGGGGGAGCCCAGGTTGGTCGGCGCGCCGTCCATGGCGCCGCCGAACTTCTTGTAGCTCTCCTCGATGGGGCTCAGGATGTCGGACACGGAGAAGGGCGTCGTGTGCTTGGGGCTCAACGACATGGCTCGGCGGGCGGGCAGGTAAAGGGGGCCCGGGGGGCGGGGGGGGGGGGGAGGGGTGGGGATGGGGATGGGGATGGGAATGGGGATGGGAATTGGAATGGGGGAGGGTCGGGGAAGGCGGCTAGAGGCTGTTGGCAAGGTGCTCCCCGCCCTGGGGGCTGGCTGTCGGGCTCCCCGCGTGCCACAGGACAGAGCGGGCTGCAGAGGGCTGAGCCGCGGGCGCACAGCACGGGCGCCGGGCTGAGAGGCGGACCGCGGGTACGCGGGTGCGCGGCTGCCCTGGAGCGGGGGCTGAGGATGCTGATCCTGCTCCCGCTCGGGTCCCTTCTGCCTCTGCCTGCGCTGAAGGGATCGCCTTGGCAGGAGGAGCCAGAGGCGGCGGCGGCGAGCCCCCTAAAGCTCTCTTATCTCGGGTTTATTTTAGTCCGGCGCCAGGTTTACGACAGACATGGGGGGCGGAGCAATATCCAAAACGAGCAAACAATGGTCATTGACATCTCCCCCCCCCTTTTTCCGTAATGGAGGCAAAAAAAGAAAAAGGGGGGGCAGTTTTCATTTCTCATTAAAAGATCTCTGAGCATCTCTAGTCCTTTCTTCCACCCCTCCCACACACCCAGCTGAGGCCGCCGCCCGGGTCTATCCCATCCATCTATCCTATTACGAGAGCACCAGAAATCGGCGTCGAGTCTTCGGGTGGTATTTTCCTTCACTCACCCTTTACCCTCTGGTTTCATGAAGTGACTTAAACTGTGGCAAAGTCGGAGCTAATCGAGAGGAACTGTGCAGTTAAGTTAGGCTGGTTTGGGGGCTTACCTCTTCCTCTCTTGCTCCCCAGTCCCACACTTGCTCCATCATCTAAAGTGTTTAAAAAAAAAAAAGAGGCTCTTGGGTCCCCCCACACAAGAGCACAGAAAAAGAATAGGTACAATGACCGTACTCTGCCATTGTAGGGCCACCTAATTTATGCATCTTTAGATCCTTAAGCTCATTTTGTGGGCAACCAAACGGGCACTTCCAAATTAGCTCAAAGTACCAAAACCCAAAAGAGAGAGAAAATACACACACACACACACACACACACACACACACACACACACACACACACTACATAGATCTTGTATGTATTCTGTTTTTACGTTGTGGGAGAGGTAATTAGAGTGGGCCAAGCAGATGTCTTTTTTTTTTTTTCACTAAACTGCTTCCAGTCTGGAGTTCTGTGCTTTGAGGTTTTTATATTTTTCAAAATTTTAAGTAAAACAATCCTCTTTATCATTCATTCTCTATACTAAACAGAAAACAGGTATACACGCGACCCATGATTTAAAATATAAGGAGGAGATTCATGCACTTTTGGTTACAAAAGTTCAACAAATTCAGGAATCTAAAAAGCCTTCAATTCTCAGGAGAAAGTGAAAAAATGTTTTGTTTCTTTGGAAAATACAAAACTACATTCAAACGGAAAAAATATGTTTTCGTCTTATTTCGGTATGCACCTGTATGGTAAACAAGAGCTCATAAGTTGTGAGCATTACAAGAAAGCCTAAAAGCTACAAAATAGAAGTGTCATAAAATAATACTGGATATGTATGTATCCAAGTAACTTGGGGGAATACTATTAAGACTAAATAGTTCTTGAAAATTGTTATCCTATTGGTTAAGGGGGGGGGCATGGATTGAAAAAATAATAATTCAAGAAATGAGGGGGAATTGGTGAGAGAAGAAATGAAGAATTCTATTTCAAGAAATGATTTTTCCTTGAATAGGTGAAAAGGGAAAACGGATGATTTAAGTTTAATAGAAACGGAAAGCCCAGATGATGTAATGCCTCCTATTCCTTTAGCAATTACAGTTTCAAGTCCTTTGAATTACTTTAAGACAGATCTTGACAAGGTTTTACTCTGAATTTTGTGGAAGGTAGGTCCTTCTCACAATCCCACCCTTCATCATATATGTATGGAACTTCACAATAGTGCACGTTTGGGAAGTTGTCTCTAAAAACATTAAAAGATTAAAATAATAATATCTAAAATGTTACGCTATTTCCACAGTAAGAAAAGCATTGCTTCAGTTTCAACATTTTGTTAATTTCACAGGTTCTTGAACTCGAAAACCTTCATATGTCTTCGCCTCTAGCTGTGCTCTCCTTGTCTACTTTATTATCACAGCACAAAGAAGTTGTTAAGCTTCTGCTGGGATTCTGCTGAACTACAGTTTGCTTTAGGTCTTTGCTCTGATTCAAGTTTTTCATTCCAATTACTATATCAGTTTGAATAAAAACTAGTTTGAAAAGTCTTGCATTCTCAACTTTCCTTGAACACAAAGTTAAAGCTGTTGTATTCGAAATACTGGGGATTAAAAATCACTTGTGGGCAAATGATCTTCTTTTCTCCTGCCCAAAGGCACATATCACGTATGTGGCAGAGATGAAAACCCCAAATATAGCTTTATATTTATCTCCATGTTTATTTACATACACAATGGAAACATAAAAAGAGTGATTTGAAAATTAAACCTTCTAGCAGTTTGCAGAACTGCTACATATATCTCCTGCTTAATTTTATTCACAGAATTAGTCATTTGTAATAAAAATCTAATTATTACCTTAAAATTGATTCTAGATCTACAGCATTTTGTTTTTCAACAGAAATTAACACGGGAGTTGCTGGCTTGTGAGAACTGCCTTCTCTAGGGGCCGTAGCACATTTTTGAATCAAGAAACGGCAACAAAGACTACATGACTGTTAACCCATGTACCAATAACAATGAAATAACAGCAGTGTAATCAATTAGGTGATCGATACTTGCCACACTCTGAAAGCCGATTGACACGAAGTAGGATTCCATCTTTAAACAGAACTGTACTCTATCTTCCTGGCAGCTCTCTGCAGCAGTCCACTCTCTAACTGCCTATGAACTTGGTGCTCTAATACTTCTCCCATTCACAGTGATAAATACTTTAGTAATTACCTTGAGGTGAACAGTTGAGGGGTGGGAAGAAGGCGGGCATGTTAGTTGATCAAGGAATTCAAATACTCTCAGGAGTTTTCTAACCATATGCTATCTATTTCATGCTCACTGTGGGCTTAATAAAGTACTTCAGAATTTACACTATATAAATACTGGAGTTAGACTTTGGTATGCTGTAGGACTCATTGAATCTTAAACCATTTATCAGATATGTGTATCTTAGTAAAAGTACCAATACTAATCTATCAAAACTAAAATATTGTACCAAAAACAAATAATTGCATAGAGTATAAACATAGAGGTATTTTAGCTGGTGGATTTGTATATGTATATATACATAGATACTATGTTGAGATAATTATAACTCTTTGGCTTCTAATTAAACTTATTTTGCAAGAACTATGTCTATATACATTACAGACCATGCATTCATTGGGTGCCCAATAAATGTTTATTAAATCAATTGAATTTTGTAAGTAATATCTTTAACTCCATTATTTAGATTTTATCAATTGCTGTATCAATACTTCAAACATTATAAAGATTGAAAATATAATAAACGGGTGGTGACAGGTTTCTTTAGGAAATTTTCATAAAAAGAATAGTTTGCAGGCTTCATGTATTCCCAAACTTTTCTGGGCTGATCCTTTGTCCTTCTGAAATTTAAAGCTTTTCTCAAGATTGTGGTATTTATTGACCATTCATATTGTGGTAGTTAAACTAAGGACCAAATTACACAGAATCTTTAGCAAGAAATTTACTGGTTATGAGAATCCCCCAGGATTCTGACCCATCAGGTGCTCACTTTTACTTCCTTTCATAGCATTGGAAATTCAACTGTTTAACAGTTGTCAAACAGATCCCTATAGAAGGGGACCTGAGAGAAGCTACAGATTTTGTAGCTATCTGATAACCATTTTAGAGGTTGGGAAAGCTTGCAATTTTTTCCTTTGGTGGGAAGTAGATCTTTGTGCCTCCATGAAGAGTGTGTCTTTATAGTCTTTGAAAACAAAATTGGTCTAGTAGAACAGAAATATCTGCTAAAGCATAGTTGCCCTGACACAAAATATTCAAGAATCAAATGTGTTTAAACTTCTTTGGACAATATATATGAAACTTGATATTTTTCATGAAGATGGAACTTGTCAAGCTCTTATTTTGTGAAACTATAAAAAGGTATACTTTGCGAAACATTTTTTGGAGTGGGGAAGAAATAAAGAGAATTTTGTAGCAAGCTTTATTTTTATAATGAGAATAGATCATAAGTACAATAGAAAGTAATTTTTTAAAGGGAATTTGCTCTAACTTAATATTGGTTGAGTCATACCCACTTATAATAAATATAGAGACCTTATTTTATCCATTATTTCTATTTTCTCCAATATTCAGCACAGGCCTGGGCATATAGTAAGTGCTTAATATGTATTTGTTTAATCACTCCTACTTATATGATAAACTTTTCCTCTATAAGTATTTTTTTACCTATTTGCAAAAATATTTTCTTTGAAAGCTTGTGACATATCAAAATTAAACCACAAGAAAAACATTTTTAAAATACTCTTTATATCTATTATCTGTATCTTCTCTGCAACTCACTTATCTTGGATTAAAATAGTATAATAGTCTAACAATAATTCTAATGCCAACTTAGAGATGACTTAAAATTATAATGATGTTCATGCAGAACTGTGAAAGCAGTTAATAAAGAATATCTTGCTCCTTGAAGTTATCAGAACACCAAAATTCATTGAGATTCTGTCCACCCTGTTGCTTTTCTAGACCTGGTAGAACAATCAATTTTACCAGTGGAATAAAAATATGAAGCTTGCCTAAGTAGACAAAGTTCTTTCAAAATGGTGAGCATAATCAAGAAAGCAAAAATTACACACCTAAAAATAGTATCTCTTTCACCATAAAGATGATTTGGGGGAAATGCTGAATTAGAATTTTTACTTCTGAAAAATAAGTCTACTCATTCAGCTTGTATGTATAAAGTTTTTTGAAATGCATTTAAACTCCTTTGGACAATATAA